TAATGATTGATGTATCATTGCCTTTGGTGACTGTTTTGGGTAAATAAAATGGTTTCAAGTTAATATTTTCGGGAAGAGAAAGAGATGAGTGGGGTGCACTAGTATGATCATGTAAGCAACCGTGACCAACTTAAGTAGATGTTTCTGTAGAAGTTTTGATGATTTAACTAAAGACATTTAATCTCCTAGTCATCCACCCACTAAGGAGAAAATCTAGAAGAAATAAGAGAGCAGAGTAAACCACCCATCAGAGTAGCAGTCAGAAAACGGGAGTCCATTCCACTCACAGATTGAATTATCATTGGATTCAAGGGTTCACAAGAACCTTAAAGGTCAAACAGTTTAACCATATACATAAATTGTTGAGTTACATGGGGGAGGAATTCTTCAGTGTCCTGCTGCCAACACCAAAGGATAAAGCAGGCAGGTTGTGGTGAGGTAGGGTGAGAGATGCAGAGGGGCCTGCATTAACTATGGTTAATGTTCTCTGGCCCTCCCAAGGCATGTCTCACAAGCAACACAGTGTCCAACTGCAATACAATTGGTTCCCCAAAATGAGATTAGAAGGAAATGACCTGCACCTCTTTCTCCCTTATCTCTGCCATCTGCACTTGATACTGAGAACTCAAAAGTCTTTTCTCTGATCAACCATACATAATCTCTAGGCATAAGAGGTCAAGAGGTAGACAATATCAAGATGTATAGTTCATCTGCCTTTACCAGGAAGGTGTGTGTTTTAATAATCGGTTACTTTGTTGTTTAAAAGTTATGTTGTGTTTTATACGCATGTGTTTCAATGCACACACAAGCACATGTGCATACACAGTCAGCACGCTAATCTAAGATGAAGAAACACCAAGGTGCACAGTGGTTATCTCTGTGGTGGAGAGTTGATAGGTAAATTTGTTTTTTGCTAATATATGTCCTTCAATTTTTCTACAATGAACTGTATTACTTAGTGTAATTTTTTATTTAAAAAATCTGGACTTCATAAGGAACTAATACACACATTGTTTTTGATTCCTAAAGACTGACCACTGAAGTCCATTGGTAAATGTTAAAGTCCAGAGCATCTCTGACCATTTTCACTATGACTCCTCAATTCTACACACTTGATAACTAGTTAGTTCTCTGAATACAGAGCCCTATTGGAATTTTTTATATTGTTTCTTCTTATGGATGGACTCCCCAAAACTGTGTTTGGAATGAATCAATGCCTAAAGAGTTTTCCTGTAGATTTTGTTAGTGTTTCTTATTAAATTTGAGCCACAGCACCATCAGTTACCTAGCAGACAGTGGTATACAACCGTAGGATTTAGAGTTTATGATCATGTAATGAGAAAACCTAACCAGCAAGGAAAGTTTCTTTTGAGTGCAACAGATAGTGGTTTATATAGCCCAAAGTAGGAAGTTGAGCAAGTTGTGTAAAATTCAGACTTTAAATCTCCACTTTTGGTGATGACATCTTAATCAAACTGGCCTGGACATAGTGCTTTTCATTTCCATGCTGTGGGAAAGTAGTATTGCCTTAAGCTCTCCTTAGTCCTGTGTCACTGTATTGAACCTAGTGATCAGAGCAGAGCCAAAGAAATCAGGACCAAATCTAGTTGATCGTGAGCATGGATCTCCCCAGATCACTAGGTCTTGGACGAGCTTGAATCTGGATGTCTTAGTCTTAATCTGAGTGGAATCTTGGTTCCAAAAGTCAAACTTTCTAATGCAGTTTTCATTGGTCCAGAAGTTTGGGCCCCTGTATCTGCATTATGACCTCTTTCGGAAACCCCTGCCGAGATCTTTAGCCTTCTCAGGCACACCTCCAGCCTTCAAGCCTGCCTCTCTGTAGGTTCCAGATATAATTCTCCTCCCTTATGTTCTTTACCATTGGCCAATAGCAGTGATCTTGAAAAACTATGATGCCATTTTTCAGAGGAAGCAGGTGCTAGACGCGGGGCTTTTGGCGTAAGTGATATGGTCCTGCCCTCTAACTGGAACTGCACAAACCTATAGTGAAACAGAGATTACCGTCTGAGAGGAAAAAGTTCCCAGGTAGTTATAATGCAGATAATAAAGGGCTACTCTTGGGGAAGCACAAGGCAGTGTGGGAGCACCCAACCTGGGCTTGGGCTGGAGGAAGGGCAGGAAGGCTTGTCAAAGAGTTTCCATTTTGTGATTCTGTTCGTAGCCCTATCCCAATCCTACCACATTATATGCAGATGATCTGTTATTATCTGTTTTCCCTACTTCATGGAAAGCTTCCCCAAGAATGAAAACTTAGTCATCTTTAGATCTTTGGCACATTGCCTGGCACATGGTATACCCATATAATTGTTTGTCAAATGGAACCCTCCTCTTCTATTTCCTTAATTTCTTTGTTTTTTTTATAACAGCTTTATTCATACATTCATAAATTCATACATTTAAAGTGTACCAAATATATCCATACAAAACAATGGTTTTTCATTCAATGGTTTTTAGTATATTCAGAGTTGTACAACCATCAGCAATATATGATTCCAAAACATTTTCATTACCCTGAAAAGAGACTTTGCACGCTTTAGCAGTCACTCCCCATTCTCCCCTCCCTGTAGGCCTTGGCAACCACTAATCTAATTTCTGTTTCTAATTTACATTTCATATAAATGGAATCATACAATATGTGGCCTTTTGTGCCTGGCTTCTTTCGTTTAGCATCGTGTTTTCAAAGTTCATCCATGTTATAGCATATAACAGTACTTCATTCTTTTTTATGGCTGAATAATATTCCATTGTACAGATATAACACATTTTGTTTATCCATTCATTATTTGATGGAGGTTTGGGTTGTGTCCACCTTTTGGATATTATGAGTAATGCTGCTTTGAACATTCATGTACAAGTCTTTGCATGGATTTATGTTTTCAGTTCTCTTGGGTGTATACCTAGGAGTAGAATTGCTAGATCATATATAACTTTATGTTTAACCTTTTGAGGAACTGCCAAACTGTTTTCCAAAGGACATTTTACATTCCCACCAGCAAAGTTTGAGAGTTCTAATTTCTCCATATCCTCACCAGCCTTTGTTGTTGTCTGTCATTTTTATTATAACCATCCTAAAGGATTTTAAGTGGTATCTCATTGTGGTTTTGTTTTGCGTGTTCTTGCAGTAGTGTTGAGCACCTTTTCATGTTCTTGCCTTCATTTTCACCTTTTTTTCTCTCATTGAGAAATGACCAGGACTGGAAATACAGAACTCCGTTGTTTATACATATGATTCTCAAAGGAAGAAACCATGTCTTATTTATTTTTATATTCTCAGCACCAAGCACAGTGTTAATACATAGTAGATACTAAATAAATGTTTTCTGAATTCGTGAATAGATAAACGATGGGATGAATGCTCAAATCATTTCAGTCCCCTTTTTTCCTGCCCAGATCCCTCCCAGAATTCTCTTTTTATAAATGTCTGGTGAGAGTTTTGAAACCCTTGATGTGAACTCAACAGATGAATCATGGTTTGCATGATGGAAAAGTTAACTAAGAAAAGCTGTGATATTTAAAAAGATAATCCTGTACATTACCAAAGCTCACTTAGAAGTCATTTATCTCCATCCCAAGAAGGGAAATTTTTCTAAAATAAATCTAAAATAAAATAAATTCTACAAAATTATGAAAAGGATTCATTTTATTCTGTTTTCTTTGTGGCTTTTTTTCCTGAAAAGTAAGCCCTCAGTGACCCAGTTTAATTTTTAAAAATCTATGAAAATGTCAAAGTGGAAAATCCAGTAAGTCATCTGTCATTTCAACCCGGCTAATCTTTACTGAAACCAGAGAATTTATTGAGTCAAAGAACTTCCAAAGGGGCCCCAATCAGGAGAAAGAATGATGTGTTTTCTCAGCCTCTCCCTTCTCTATATCCCAACGAATCCTGCCTTTTTTGATTTTTTGGTCCTGTCTAAAGCTCTGTGCTTCTGTGGTAAACTGTTGATACCTGGGAAACTGAATTTGCCCTGCTGTGTCCGTTTCTCGTGCATGAACACCATCTACACATGAAAGGAAAGAGGCAGAGACAGCTGGGAAGTGGACGGCTTCTGTTTTTGTTTTTAAACTTAAGCTTCTTGGGTCAAGGAATTTAAACCAATAATCGACTAATAAAGAGAGTTGTCATGGTTGTATTTTCTTAATAAATAGAACCTCTATTATTTCACACTCCTCAGTATTGGGTTATGTATCATAATATCACAAGTTTAGCAAGTTTCTTTGTAGATGGCCTTATTCATTCTACTTAAAGTTAATTGTCTATTTTTAGAAACAGACCAGCCTCACTTATACCGGAGGACTAGAAGTTAGGAGATCTTGGTTTTGGTCTGTGCTGTTCATTTCTGGTGTGACCATGAGGACGGCCAAATGTCTGAAGGCCTGTTCACCTCAAAAGTACCCGATGATCTCCCAGGACCTTTCCAGCTATAAGTTTTCTAAATTTTTTTCATGGTGCTCTGATTCCAATGTGGATTAAGTCTTCTAAGAACAAGTTCTGAAATAAGCCTTGAGAAAGAGGTTGTGTTATCCAGAATCCAGAGCACTCCAGGTGCCTCAAATCCTGGCCTCTCTGCAGGATTCATTGGCTCCAATAGCTTTTGGGTCTGTTCCCACCTGCACAGCAAGAGTGATCACTCCTATTTCTAAGGCATTCTGAAATTCTGGGCCTGACGTTAACTCTGTAAGTGTGAGATAAGATACTAGACAAGTATAAGATGCTAAGAAAGTATATTAAGTCAGGGAAAAACTTTTTAAATTTCTTCTTGTTAAATGTTTTATTTACCTTTTATATTTAAAACTAAATGATCACAAGATGTAAACCCTAAAGCAGAAACTGTATTAAAACATCCAAGACAGCTCAGTCTTTCCTCCGCCCTCACCCACCTCACCTCTTGTCCTCTCCTTCCCCTCCTGCGAGCTATGATGCGTCCTTGATTTTAACATAATATTGTTTACTCACATTCCTCTTTTTGCCTCCTTCACAGGGTACATCCCGAGTTACTTAGACAAGGACGAGCTATGTGTAGTGTGTGGTGACAAGGCTACGGGGTATCACTACCGCTGCATCACGTGTGAAGGCTGCAAGGTAATGGCCCTGGGGCCAGTGAGCTCCTGCTCAGCCCGGCTCCAGTCCCCTCCCAGGGTTCCACCGGAATGCAACATTCAATTCAAATCAAAATCAAATCCCAACATTCTTGGCCTGTGATCATCCAGGTGTCTGGTTGTCATCTTCATTTTTGGCATGTTCAAGAACTGAATTTATTATTTTTTTCAAATCAAAAATAACCAACTGAAGTTTTGGGAGAGTATGATATCTGGTTTTCTAGACAGGGAGAGAATAAAATGAAATTAAACTAATAAAATTCTCACTTTGAGTTTAAAAACGCATAGATATTTTATAACATATTATCATCCTAAGAAATAACCATTTCTCCTCCTGTTTGAGGAGGCAGAGCTCGCTGTAGCACAGGCTGTTGGCCACTGTTAATCTCAGTGAATACACTGACTTTTAAAGGTTCCATTGGGGAATATCTTTGAGGCTACTTAGATTCAATTATGTTCTGAAATTATCCAAATTGGCTTTCTGCACAGCCTGCAGTCAGTAAGTAAATTCTGGTCATCCATCAGCTAATTTCATGTTCTACAGACCCATCATCAGGACATACTTGACAAGAATACACCAGTGATCAACAGGCAGTTCACTTCCCGAAAGTAAGCCCAAATTTGCCTACTTACAATCTTCGCCATCGAAATTAAGATGAGCTTTCTGGCAAATATCTTTTGGTCCAACAACCTAGCCTAGAAAATAAAGTCTACTATGAAGGTAAATAAAGCTTCCCCTGGTGCTGTATTCAGCATACAGCTAATGTTTTATATATGAGGAAGTATGTTAAGTCACGGAAAGACTTCTTCAATTTCTTCTTATTAAATGTTTTATTTACCTTTTACATTTAAAACTAAATTATCACAGGATCTAAACCCGAAAGCTCAAATTTGTATTAAAATTATAAAACAATTCAGTCTTCCCTCCTCCCTCACTCGTCTTACCTCCTCTCCTCTCCTTTCCCTCCTCCAACTGCCCCCTTTCCTCCTAACCTTTGACCCTAATCCCCAAAAATCAACATGTTAGCTCTCTTTCAAACTAAGGTGTCCGGTTTTCCTAGCGGAAGATTTTCTATGCAAACTCCCTACTTTTTGTGCATGAAATTAAGAAATAGCAGAAGCCTGCTAAAAGTGTTGAGATGATACATCCATTGGAAAGAGGTCATTCTAAGGTCCCAAGGCCTTATATCTGCAAGACTATTTTTTGGAAGGTGACATACATATTCTCATTTACCCAGACCCCTTTGATCTGGAATTTGTAACCTTTTAACAAAGATGAGGCTAAAGCTTGCTATTCCATCTATGAAAATAATGTCTTAAGGAGTTTAATGGAACTAATTACAAATAAGTCCTGGCTATTTATTCATTGGGAGACTTGCAGACTGTCTCTTGAAAGCCCAGCTTTATTGGTTTTATTTGAAAGTAATAAAACTGCATTACTTTAGACACATTCTCTCATTCCAAAAGCTCAGTAATTCAAACAGGTCTTTTTTCTAAATTAGCCCCTATTCATGAGGCTTTACCTGCCTGATTATGCAGCACTGAGATTCTTTCAAATCAGCTTCTAATGGAAAATTTTGAATTCTAGGACAGACTCTAATGAAAATTCCATTTAATACTCAACTCCCCAAAGTGACTCTAACGACTGAATGTGCCTTACAGAGGACTTAGTGCTTATTAGCAATTGACTTAAACAAAGGAGAATCAAGCGTATTAACCCGTGTCCCTGCCTCACGTACATCTTCATGATGAGCAAGAAACCCACTAGCCTCTTTTCCTACAATCACTGGATGTTTAGGGCCTGATTCAACCGAGGTTTACTTAAAAGAAGAAATCATGTAGCAAAAAGCTAGATTTCTCAGCCTCTGTGCCTTTATCTCAGACCAGAATCCTGTTTCTAGGACCGCCTCCAGCATAAAGTCAGAAAGAAGCCTTCCTAGGGTGGTTACACAGATCACTTAATACAAGAACAAAGAGTCTTAGAAAAAGACAAAGGAGTTTTTCAAATGAAACAGTTGTTAAGAGTGGCCAAAGATGAAAAAGGTACCGTTCACATATTGTTTATTCAAACCTGTAATTTAAAAATATTTCTACCCCATCCCTCCAATGTGTACGAGGAGAATCTTTGCCCGTTATACCCTGACGACAGTTGAAATCTTTTGGAGATGTTGTCTCTGTTTTAATGTGCCAGTTTTTATGCATCTTTTGCAGAAAGAATACTGCCCCACAATTAGCCATTTTTAAGAAAGACTCAAAGCTTTTTAACAGCTGCCCAAATATTGTGCTAGGAGGGTGACACAGCTCCTTATTGCACTGATCAGTGCACCATCTCAAAGCACTAAGAATGGATGCAGAGAAATATGTCTGATGTTGACTCTAAAAGCACGACCTCCACTCTCCAACAAATCATCAATGAAATATATGTCCTTATTCATTCCTTGGGACATCTCTTTTGTCAGCTTACCTCTAAGAGGATTTTATATATATATATATATATATATATATATATATATATATATAAGTAGACGATGTTAAATATTTTCTATGCAAGTTGACTTCCAGGAGTTAATTTTTGTCACTTTTTAAAATTAAGGGACCTCGCATCTTTGCATTTACTCAAATGAAGTGGTCCCTTATCACATCTCAAAATATGCTTTTATTATAGCTTAGGGGAGGCCAGTATCTTCAAAGAGATTTGGTCCATGAAATGCCCAAGAAAAGTCATCAGAGATAAGCACAGAAAAGATGGTACTATGAATAGCAGAGCCTGCTACCTCAACACTTTTTTTGAAATAGGCAAAGTATGCATTATTTCATTCATTCCACTTAAAAGTTCATAGAGTAGCCTTTTTGGAGGAATGACTGTTACCCCGTGTCTGGTACATCACACCTCATTGCCTCCTTGGTGTTGTCTGACTCTTCGGCATGCTCTCTGCCCCCTAGAACATGAGTCAACATCAGAGCATGGATGAGAAAAGAAATCTGCCCCACCTCAGATAGAGTAACGATTTTCCTGTCCTCACGGGATGCCCTGGACTTTGTTGTTTCCACCTCTAAGGAAACTGCATCCTCCAGAGGAGGGATGATACCCAGCCCCTCTCCTCCCTGGCTGTGACATTCTTGCCAGGGATCTCTGGGTTTCTTAGGCCCTCCAGGCAGGGGTAACCCTTGAGGGGTGGATTAGACAGAGAGTAACAGACCTGGAGGAGGGAGGTTCCCAGGGAAGCTTGTTTTTCACTCTGTGGCGTGTCCTGACATTCACACTTTGGTAGGATTTGCCCACCTTGAATACCCAGGGAAACATTGCTGACTTCTCAAACAGCTGCTCTGTGTGTGATTTAGTGACTCTTACAACAGTATATCAACATCATTCAAACTAATGGACTCAAGTGTTTAAAGATGTTAAAACACAAATATAACATGACAGTTTTTCTGTTAGAACTTGAACAATGGACATGGCAAGGAAGTTACAGACATGCCCCTAAATCAAGTCCATTTGTGTCAATTATTGCTGTCATTTTTCCATTTTATTCTGCTTTGCCCAGTATAAAATCATACCTTTGACATTTTCATTATAAGAAAGAGCTCTTGTCTCTGAGTGAAGAATATGCAAGTGGTATGTGTACATAATCAAAACCCAGGAGAGTTAAACAGGATAATTAATCTAGGTCAACTGGTATTTCAGTCCCAACATTTATGTAACAAAGTTAGAGGTCCCCCTTAAGCCTTAGTAGACAATATCTTCAAAATTTGTTTTGCCTTGCTGTTCTACTAAAACAGATAAAGTGTTTTATTGAGGAGTGAGTGGGAGGGGACTATTTATAATCTGTTCTTCTAATAATACAGTAAAATTGAATTCAGTTTATATCATATAAGCAGTTAAGTAAGATTTACACTCCAACTCCTGGTTCCAGGCTGAGTTCCAGCATGGACTTAACTTGTGATTTTGGGCAAGTGATTTAACCTGTCTGAGGCTGAGTTTTTTTAATTCCTGCAATGGAGATGTTAAGAGTACCTCTTCATAAGATTGGAAAAGAGATCAAAGAATATGGAATGTGTCTACAGCACTTTGCAATGTGCCGCTCACAATAAATGCTTTCTGCCATTATTAATTCCTACAGTACAAAAGTATAGTTGCCAAGACTTGAGTATCATGTCCGGAAAGGTTCTAGTATAACACACCCTTGAGATTGTTATATAAGTCACCTCAACCTGGAACTAAACGGTATCCTCAGAAACCTTTATGGTGGCACTCTCTCATGCCTTAAGAAAGGAAGAAACATATTGAAATTTATGTTGTGTGTCTATGGATCCTGGAGAAAAAGAGTGTTATGAAAGGGAAAACCCCAATGCAATGAGCTATGGGAAAAATTTGGTAGAGAACCTGGAATTTTCTACTCCCCAAGTCTGTTGTCTCAAGGGCTATCTGAGCTGGTCATGGCCATCTCAAGAGTGAAAAACAAGAATTCAACTAAATCTCTAACAGCAGTTAATGCATCCATTTAATTGCTAAATGGTTAAAGTGTTAATTAATAAAGTCTCACAAGTATCCAGCTCTTCTATTCTCCAGTATAAAGTGTAGCAAACCTCTTCATAGCTCAATTTAGCAACACAATTATGGCACTTTATGAAATGAAATAATACAATTTATATTACTCAATGTTTAGAGAAAAAAAAGCGAACACTAGATTTTCCCATTAGCCTCTTTTCCTTGAATAAATGCCAGAAAGATGTTGACTCTGTAGTCCTATAACATATCCTTCAGCTCAGATTTAGAATTCCCTTTGGGCCAATGGTCCTATATCTGAGCAGGTAGCGCTATAGGCCCATACACAGGTAAGGTCCAAAACAATCCATCGCAGTTTGTGGACACAAAATTCTGGAGTCATTTATTCCAGAAAAGATAAAACTGTTGTCTTGGGTCTTTCTTTTTCATGTAGGGTTTCTTTAGAAGAACCATTCAGAAAAATCTCCATCCATCGTATTCCTGTAAATATGAAGGAAAATGTGTCATAGACAAAGTTACACGAAATCAGTGCCAGGAATGTCGCTTTAAAAAATGCATCTATGTTGGCATGGCAACAGATTGTAAGTAATCTTCTTCCTTTGCTTCATTTTCAAGGAGTGTTGATTGGGGGAGGGTTTGGTTCAAGGAGATCAACCAAGCAGGAAAGAAAGAAGGAACCAATGTGCACAGAGGGAAGACACGCAACATTCCCACAGACCCCTCACTCCCAGCCATAGCAGGGTGGTTTCCATGCTACCCTCCTTGTCAACTCCTAACCCTCCGAGTATCCAGATGATGGGTGAGGGGAAGCGGTTAAATTATCCCTATCATATTTGCAGGACAGTCAGCAATCCTCTGTTTGGGACAGAGATTACAAATGAGGTCTTGTCCATTCACCTTGATAAGGTGTAATTTTACGTGCAACATTCATGTGGTGAGAGCCTCAGGGACTAGTCCTAATATTTTTTCAAAAGCAGAGACAGGAATTTATTTTGTGGACATTTTTGGAGACGGGACACTGGCAGAAAACATCGTGTTCAGAAATTTCTGAAGAATGTGAAGTTGAGTGCTGTTGCATGAGTCATCCTGCAGTTGGTTGTTTGTTATATTTTTAGCCATAAAAACATTCCAAGCTGAAGTCGTCCTACCCAGTTTTCAAAGTGCCACAGCATATGGTGGTGAGATTAGCCATTGGGGTCTCTTCTCCCGACACTGTGCAAGGGATTTACACCAGTCACTTTAATTAATCTAATAATAAAATAAGAATCATGTCAGTCAGAATGTGTGGCCTCCCTTTTGCCAGGCATCAAGGTTAATGAGTTCTACTGGCGTAAATGTTTTGCACATCAATGAAGGATTCCAACTTTTAGTTAAAAAAAAAAGAAAGAAAAGAGAAAAGGAAAGAAAGAAAAAGAGAATGCAATGAGGATTTTTCCTCCTGAAGGAGCAAATAATCATGGCTTACATTTACGTGATAAACAGGGTTCTCTCAGCTGGAACAACAAATCTGTAGAAGGTCCTGGTTTGCTCATTAAAGAAGACAAAACGGGGAATCTTAAAAAAGGAGGAGAGTTGTGTAAGGACGTTAGGCAGGGAATCCTGGGTTAATCCCCACCTCTGGCTCGGTGTCTTCTTTGTCTTTACCTTTTAAAGGCTTTTATCTGTCGCTAACAATATGCCTGATCAGGATATGTGGAAATGATTGACCTAGAACCAAACAGTTAGATGTGTCACTATAATGAACTGCTATTGAGTATCCATTTCGTTGTTTTATTGAGAAGTTAAAGATGTAAATGTTTATGGCGTTAAAAACCTTAATGTTTACCTAGACTGGGTTGAAATTAATTTTGAGTGCACCTCACTTGCATGTGAGGTATTGTAAGAGCGCAGGTTTTATAATCAGAAAACTGTTGGAGTCCCAGATCTGCCGCTTACCAGCTGTGTGACCATCAAACTTAACCTCAAGTTTCCCTTCTGTGAAATTATCGTCTACCTCAAGGGTTGTTTTCAGGATTAAATTAGATAATGCACGTGAAATGCAACGATCCCTGGCACAGTGGAAGCATTTGGGGAATGGAGCTATGAGGATAGCCCCATTCCTCTTCTCCCTGTAATAAGACTTAACATGACTTAACAGGGCTCGTTCATATTTCCCACATTTGTTAAAGCTCACCTGACTTTGATGATCCGGTCAAATCTACATGGTCAGGAGTTTCATTATTCTGTTTGTGGATTAGCTGAGTACCTCTGGTTCTCTTCCTCCAGCTATGTTTGCTTTTTTCTTTTCCTACCGAGTCACACCATCCTCCAGAAACGGCCCTAGGATAACGATATTGTAGAACTGGAGTCAGGAGTCCTGAGTCTTGCCTTGGCTCTGCCATGAACTTGCTGTGTGACTTCAGACAAGTCACGATCTCTCTGAATCAACCTCCTCCGCTGTGAAATGAGGGAGTTGTACTAGAAATTATCCAAGGTCCCTTCCAGTTCTAAAATACTGTGACTCTGTAGTATAAAATCTGAGCCTTCCCATTCCATTGATAGTTACTAAGAGTCTGGTGAAATGGTTTTATTTTGGAAATAATCACGGAAGTATAGGTTTCTTGCTACCTGCCCTTTTTTGCATAAATGATGAAAGTCATGGCTGTGTTTACTGAGCACTTATAGTGCATTATCTCATTGAATACCCTGTGAAGTGGGCATGATTGATCCCATTTTATACAGGAAGAAATAAAAGCTCAAAGAGCCTTAGTAACTCACCAGAGGTCACGCAGCTAGAATGTGGTAGTGTCAGGATTCAAACCCAGGTCTTTCTAGATTCCAAAGCTTGGGCTCTTTAACCACCATTGAGGGTTGACCAGGTCGAAAGTAAGGTGAAGTGAGTACTGTGAGCCCTGAGGTAGGCCCAGCCACACTCCAGTTAGCCCTTCAGGGAGCTAACGAAGAGCTGGAGTCCTTTTTCCTCTGAAGAAGGGATCGTTAACCTCCCGTCAACTGCTCCAGAACTTTTCTTTAACCTGAAATTCTTCTTACTAAGAGCCATTTGAGGGAGGAGGGGAGGAACAGAAACCTGAGAGTGAATTCAGATGATTGGCTAGACAGACTCATCTGAGAACCTGTGGGTAGGATAGGTTTTCCCTCTCTCTGCCTCTTTCCTATTTAGGGCCAACTTCGGTGGAGTTGGGATGCCCAAAGTCCAGCTCCCCCCACAGCTTTGTTTTGAAAAGATGGCTACACCTTGGGAGTTTGGCACCAGGCCTCATGTTGGACAATCATTAGGCAATGGCAGTTTGCTGCCAAGGGGAGAAAATGCCCCAGTGTGACCCACCCTGTGGGATCCACTGAGCCACCTGTGCCTCAGTGGTCCCTGCCCTTAAGGCTCCAGGATGTGCAGTCTGCCCTGGGTCTGGGGAGCATCTGTGTTTTGTCTCACTTTCTTCCTCTCCCAGTGGTACTGGATGACAGCAAGCGGCTGGCAAAGAGGAAGCTGATAGAGGAGAACCGGGAGAAGAGACGACGGGAAGAGCTGCAGAAATCCATCGGGCATAAGCCGGAGCCCACGGACGAGGAGTGGGAGCTCATCAAAACCGTCACCGAAGCCCATGTCGCCACCAATGCCCAAGGCAGCCACTGGAAGCAGAAACGGAAATTTCTGGTAAGGCTCCCCGGTACAGCTGAATATCGGCCGCCTGCCCTGCATTTCCTACCTCAACTCAGTCCTCATAACCCTGGGATGCTGGTGCAATTGCCCCCATCTTACTGATAGGGAAACCGCAGTTCTGAGAAGTCAAGTAACTTGGAGAGGCAGGATTTGAATCCAGGTCTTTCTGAGAACAAAGCTCACTCCTACTATCTACTGCCAGTGAGTCACTGAATTTTAAAGCAGCTTCTTAGGTCACATTATCTGTTGCTTTTGCTGTTAGCAAGACCAGCCCTGGATGAACTAATTAGTAAAATTCTTGGGGCTGGCCCCGTGGCCGAGTGGTTAAGTTCGCGTCCTCCGCTGCAGGCGGCCCAGTGTTTCGTTGGTTCGAATCCTGGGCGCGGACATGGCACTGCTCATCAAACCACGCTGAGGCAGCATCCCACATGCCACAACTAGAAGGACCCACAACGAAGAATATACAACTATGTACTGGGGGGCTTTGGGGAGAAAAAGGAAAAAAATAAAATCTCTAAAAAAAAAAAAAATTTTCAAAAAAAAAAATTCTTTACCAACTTTGCCTTTTTATACCTATTTCTTCCCTCATGTGCCTATTTATATAAGTACTTATTCCTCTAAACTCACTCCAAAATGTCCCCTTTACAATTAGCCCTAAAATGAAGTGTCCCATATCTCGAATGTATCTTTATGTCAATAGAAGTCAAATATTTAGCTTAAAATAAATGATGTCGAGTCAGGAAGACAAGGATGGGGGTAGGGTATGTAGAGAAAACAGGCTTTTCCAGGCCCTTGGAGTATGGATGTTTGATGTTTCTATAAAAACTAACCATTGTGAAAGTCCTTCCCATTCATTTTCATTTGAACCTCACAATGCTTTGTGGTAGGCTGAAATTTTATTCCCCTTTTACAGATATGTAAACCAAGCCCAAGGCATTAAGGGGCTCACCCAAGATCATGCTACTAGAAGGTGGCTGATCCAGGCCCAAAAGCCAACTCAGGTCTTCTGGTTCCAAGTCTAGGCTCTTAGCCCACCTCACCAGATGGACTGCCAATCCCACCACCAGCTGGTGTCTGACCATCTCAGAGACTGACCCTGCACTTGGCTTATGACGTGAACCCTTTATGAGCACCTCACTGAATCCCAGCAGTAGAATCCAGTGGGTCTATTTGTACCTCCAGGATACATTCGAGTACCTTCCCATCTGAAGGTGTAGTGGTATACTTGTCCTTGCACCTCAACATCACCGTTATAATGGGATAGTTTTTTTTGTGAAAACAGTATAACAACAACCTTAAAGGAAATTTTTAGAAAGAAAAAGCTTACCCATAATCCACCTTCTCTCAAACAATTACTTTCATTGTAGTAATGAATCAAGTTCTAACACACTTTGTTGTTGGCTTTCACTAAGAGTGATGTTAGCAAACACTTAGATGACCCTTGCTAAGTGCCAGGTACTATTCTAAGTGCTTTCCATACATTAACTCCCTATGCCAACCGTGTAGGTAGATATGATAATATCTCCATCTTACAGAGGAGGTAAGTGAGGCAGAGAAGTTAAGGGAGCTCTCACAGCTAGTAAGTAGTGGTGGTGGATGCATCCCAGCTCCAGGATCCATGCTCTGAACCACTACACTATGCAACTTGGCCACCTGCTAAACTCGAAGAACCTTCCAAAGATGCAAAGTCTTTCGAAGGGCAGCCTCTTAGTGCCTTGATCTTGCATCCTCAGCCCTACCCTGGTATATCTGCCAGAAATTAGAAAACACTGATTCTGGATAGATAGATAGATCAATTCTAACCCAAGGTATTTGGGGCACAGCATGATAGAGTCTTGCCTAACCCCAAGCCTAAATCTGTCCTTTCCCCGAGTATGTCCACCATAAATGGACATTGTGGAAGCCACTTCCAGGACTGAGTTCAGAGTAGGGACCAAGTTGAATTTCAAGGAAGGTGGAAGATTTGAGACACATCCTAGACTTCTCCTAGCAAATTTTGCACTTTGATTTTCTTTATTTGTAAAAAATAATGGATACTAGTCTAACCAAACAAGTTTCAGTGGTCACTAAAGTGCTTCTTTCTAGATTCTAAAGATTTGTTGTTTAGCTTAAAAAACATTTATTGAGGAGCTACTATGTGCCAGGAAGTGAATAACTCAGCCATATTCCAGTGGAGGGAGACAGACAATAAGAGTTAAACAAACAAGATAAATGCAGGTAGTGGTGAGTGCCGTGAGGGAAATAAGCACCGTAATGGGACAGAGTGATTGTGAAGTGGAAGTGGGGAGAGACTTCACTTTGCTAAACAGGGTGGTCATAAAAGGTCTCTCTGAGGAGGTGACATATGAGCTGCATCTGAAAGCTGAGAAACCAACTCTATAAGGTCAAATATAATCAGACCTCTTCATGCCTCATAGTCTCTTCAGCAAAAATAGTACATTTTCTAGTAATTAAAACCAACCAGGTCTGCACCTTTAACTCAAAGGCTCCTAACAGTTTTCATCAGTCTAATCATCTATAGAAAGAACCAAAGAAGGTATGGCACAGAATGATTTGCCGTTTGTTTTTTGTCAGAGCCATGAGATTATCTGGGCACAAAAAAGTTTTCTTCAGGAAGCTGACATTTACAGAGCAACTGTTTACCTACCAATCTCCCCACCCCCTAGGGAGCTGACATGAAAGGTGTAATAGGTAGATCCTTGATCTGTTCAAGAAATTGTCCTTCTTGATCCAAATACAAATAACTGCTTCTTCACGCCATTTTTTTTCTTAGAGAGATGCTGGGGGAGCTCAGAATGCCTCCATTGTCCTGTCTGTCCCTACAGTGAACTTCATTTCTATCAGCCAGTCCCCGTCTATGCCCGGGATCACCCCTGCATCTCCTTGGGGGAAAGACCGTGTTCCATTCAGCATTGTCACTTCAGTGTCTATCACGTATGTGGTTGAAACTTGTGGTAGTTTTTCTCCAAGATGGCTGCCTTTAGATTCTTTCCTCCCTGTAGACACAGCCCATTCTCTCTCATGGAGAGGTGGAGTCTGTTCCTCTCTCCCCTTGAATCTGGGCTGGTCTATGATTCCTTTAGACAATAGATTTTGACAGAATGACTTCTAAAGCTGAATCACAAGGAGCCTTGCAGTTTCCACTTGATTATCTTGGAGAGGGAAGTCACCTGGTCTCTCTAAGAGAAGCCAACTGCCATGCAAAAAAGTCTCAGTACCCTGAGACCAGCGTGCTGTAAGGAAGCCCAAGCTAGCCATGTGAAGAGACCACGTGGAGCAGCCTAGGCACCAGAAATTCGAGTAAAGGAGCCTGCAGGTGACACCAGCCTCCGTTGCCATTTGATGACAGCTGTTGAGGGACCCCAAGTGAGAGCCACCCTGCTAAGCCCATCAATCCCCAGAACCCTGAGAGAGAGTAAACATTTGTTTTAAGCCACTAAGTTTTGGGGTAGTTTGTTACACAGCAGTAGATAACCAGAACAGAACTTGATAATATTGTTAAACAGAACCTAGAGTTCCACGGGCCCATTCTCAGAGACAGTACAGTTAGGCCCTGTGTCTCAGCCAGTTTACATATTTACACATACCCCTTAAAGAAGGGTGACTCCAATTGAGTATTGACGCTCAGGATAAAAACGTCACTCTTTTGAGGGGTGAATTATTCCTGCAAGGACATTAAGAATCCTTCATTAACGACAGCTTTGCTCAATGGTATCCATGTGCTGAATAGGCTTCTACACATTATGAGTTGCATCTCCTGTGTGGCTGATACCTTTTTTTTTCTTACAACCATGCTACACATATTATTTCACTTATTTTTATGTTATGATGGCCTATCTTGTTCTGAAAACAAATTTGAGGAGGCCTATTATATTAATAATAGTATAGTAATATATCATAAGAGATTAAACATTATATGTTGTCCTAAAAGCTAAAAGAATTCATTTAACTGGAATGGGTAAGTAACTTACTCCCCAAAAGGAACTTCTTCATCATTTTTTACCCTAAAACCAGGACTCAAGTCAGAAATAAAGACTGGTGATTTGACTCAGGTTTTAAATCTATATTTGTGTCTGTGAAAATAAGAGTCATTGGCAAATAATAAATTTTTGCAAAAGCCATGCAGATTTTCATAATACAACAGGCCTTCTCTATGCACAGGTTCCACATCTGCAGATTCAACCAACTGCAGATAGAAAGCCTTACCGTAGTTGCATCTGTCCTGAACATGTACATACTTTGTTTTCTAGTCATTACTCCCTAAACAATACAATATAACAACTACTTACTTAGCATTTACATTGTATTAGGTATTACAAGTAATCTAGAGATGATTTAAAGGATAGAGAGGATGTCCATAGGTTATGTGCAGATACTACATCATTTTATGTAAGGGACTTGAGCATCCACAAGGGATTTTGGTATCCACAGAGGGTCCTGGAACCAATCCCCCATGGATACCAAGGGATGACTCTAACTCTAAAGCCACTCTTTAAAACTACTTCCAGAAGCATTTAAATCACGTAATTCTCTAGTTTTCTTCAATCCACTCAGCTCTCTGATGGTACAGAAGTGCCCAACTTAACCGCCAACAATTGGTGTGTGATGACAGTCATGATAGAAGTAGATGTGGACTGAGAAGGGAACAAGGAGCGTCTGATGCCAAAAAGGGAAAGCAGTGTCCCTCCACCAAGGGTAACTCACTCCTACACCTCCCAGGAGCGGTGAGACTTTCCATTTGGAGTGAAGCCCATACCAAGAACACTATTGTCTGTTGACATGTGTTATTATTCTGCTCCCTGAGCTCACATGCAAAAGTGTGGCTTTGGATGGATTTTCCACCCAAGTATAAAATGTGACCATCAGAACCAGGGCAGGCCTGCCCTAGTTTCCCCTGGTAGAGCTGCTGGCTGATTTCACACATTCTTAGTTGAGGTAGCATCAGTAAAGGGGCATGAGCAGAAGGGTGATTTGGCCATGTGTGGTGTGTGTGG